GAATACGTAAGATCTTGTATAACATAATTTTATATTGTATACTAATTTTACACATTTTAGTAAAGATATAAATATAAAATCAAGTCGTTTTTGATACTAGGGTGTATCAAACCATCACAACCACACCCACCTCTATTGTTAATATACACCTCTTATATATTTTGGTGGTTTAGCATAAATTTAAAGCAACTTTTTTGTATATTTATATTGCTTATGTCTTAAAAAAAAAAAGTTTTTTCTTAAAGTGATCAGTTTCATACGGGCAAGGTAGTGGATTGGTGCCCCCTACGTCTATCAGAAACGCCCGGTGGTAGAGTTTAGCATAAAGTTGTAGCCCATTCTTACATATATCTTTTGATGCCAAGATACTTGTTTTTCGATAAGAATTGACAAAGTTATGACAATTTAAGTGAAGAAAAACATTAGCTCTAAAAAAAATCAACTAATATAAATCTGAAAAACTAAAACTCTAATAGAAAATTAATTTTAATAACGTTTTGCAACTACATTAAGGTTGAATGACTCATTGCGTTGATTTGTCGAGTTTTTAACTGATTTTTTTTTTATATTAGGAGAATAGCAAATAACTTTTTTTTTCCTTTTCTTAATGTCTAAATAAAAATACTTATATGATTATTTTTTAATTATTTATTTAATTTTATATATCAATTAAAAGAATACATTACAACGTTATTAAACCAATATGGCGAACAAAAATTTGATCTTTTCTAATGTTTTTATATTAGGCAAACTCTGTAAAATAAAATATAAACTAAAAGCTGTGGTTAAGTTGTCGCAGAAATTAAATAAATTTGTGGTCAGAAATAGAGTGCGATTGCACGCCTTTCCTGCCCACGACTGTATAAGAATTGAGTTTTACATTTGAACATAAAGTATATTAAAAACATATATATTAAGAATTTTCATTTCAAATAAACAAGGTTGGCATAAGTAAATCTGTCTTTGAAATTGATAAAACAAGTAACTTGCTTCTGTTGACAACAAAAAAGTTCCTGTTTAGATTTATTGGCATAACACCAACCAATATTTGCATAGTGTAAATGACAATAAATAAATGAAAAATATGTCTGAGTTAGATGACGATTATTTAAAGAATTTAACTTTATACAAGATTCTTCCACTTTTAACAACTTTAATACATAAGAATTCAATGTGGTATTTCCAACCGAGATTTTCATCAACTTAAAAAGTTTGTAATAGTTACTCTTTTAATTTGAATTTTATCAATAAAAAGTAAATCAAGAGGTTGTACTTTTGTTTCAGAAGATTGATTTAAAGTTTGATGTAAAGTTTGAATGGCCAATTTTTTTTTGATTAGAAAAATCCAATCTGCAATATTAACATTTGGAAAAGAACCAGAAGGATTTGGCAATAGCAACAATGACAGGAACAGTCATAAACAGAAGACTAGTAAAAAAAAAAGAACTTTCTCTTTGCAGACTTGTAAGCAGAAAACCTTTATTTCAAGTGCATTTTCAATTTGTCTATGGTAGGAATTAAATTTTCAATTCTAAAAAAAGTCACTTAGAACTACATTCTCTCAATTTTTACCAACTCCTACTTTGCACATCTTCTTTCTGGTCATTGCATGTAGAATTTGAATAAGAACAGCTCCTGCCGATCACCTTCTTTGACTTAGAATTTTGAAAGTAACTTTCATGCCCTTTCCTGCAACACTTACAAGACAAATTATTTGCCATCTGTTAGTTAAAGAAGCACAGCAATTAGGCAGACATTGAAGAAACCAAAAAAGTTAAATGCAGTCTCACAGCTGTCAACAGCAACAAATAATTCAGAGCGCAGTACATTAAATATGTTTTTGTCACTTTTTTTTTTTCAAAATCTGTTTGCAACATTTTGATCTGAAATGTTGCGAACAAATGTTATCTTTTATAGAAACCCAATAGCTTTGCACTTATTTCAAATCCCTTCACAATCCTTGGTCAGATTGACATATTGAAAAACTGAACTAAATCAAAAAATTAACTCTAATAAATAATAAAAAATAAGTTTTTTTATTGTTTGTTTTACTTTTTCGTTTAAAAAGTTTTTAAGCAGCAAAAATTTTTATTTAAGTTCTTAACAAAACTTATATTATGTTCATAACATAAGTTATGCTCTTTCTGCTATTTTGTCAATTAAAAAAAAAATATATGCATATCATATTGAAATGTAAAAGAAAAAAGTATACATACTCGGTGTAGTTAAGGCGATTTACAAAATATTTGAATACTTTTATTTGGAATTAGCATGGTTTTGTCAGCATATTATGCCCAAACAAGATCTTAAAATTGTATAATTTTTTTTTTGCTTAAGGTTTTTATAATATTTAAAGAAACTTTTCTTTTTTATATATAATTTTTAAAATCTTTTTACAACCCGTAATAATGTATCTAAAGAACACTATTTTGGACTCTTTAGATCAATTTCGCTCATCGACATTAACATGAATTTAGTTAAAATCTTTTTTAAAAGTTACTTAATTTACTACTGATTCTAGTTCAAATTGGTTCTGACATATTAACTATATATAGTTGTCAAAACACAATACTTCTATCAATTTTCACAAAAAATACTGGAAAAATACAAGAAAGAGCTTATAATTATAAATAATTGCCAATAAACGATCAGAACAGATCATATTGTTAAACTATAATGTTCATTTCACCTAAAAAACGTATTAATATAAAATCTTGTTTAAATTTGGACGAGCGATTGTGATTTTAAGATGATTTTTTTTTAAAAAAAAGATTCCACGGTCTGGGTTTTTTCGCTACAAACATTTATATTTTATGATACCGCAAAATTTATTATTTTAATTTTTTTCGTCTTTTCATAATTCACAGTCCAGATCATTTCATGGAAATATGTCATAATCAACAAAATATCATACAGACGCTATAATATTTTAAAAGTGCCTTAACTACACCGAGTATAACGAAAAAAAAAAACTGGAAGCCAAAAAGCCAAATAAAAAAACATATTATATACATAACCTATTACATCTGAAAGATCAGACCAACTAAAAAAACAGATTAACATGTGAACCTTCTTATCCCGCTCAGTCATTATTTTACGTTATAAAAAGCCAGACACTTTATACATTTTGCAGTAGTGTTATAGAAGCCCCAGCAAATTCATAACTGCAGTGGTATATTTAAAAATTTAGGGGCCCCTACTAAGACCCTATTTTTTAGGGGCATGGACGCAGCTACACCTATGTATTGCTTTTAAAAAATCTTGTCCAGCGTTGCTTTTAGAAAATCTTGTTAAATATTTAAAATAAACTGTTAAGTAAAATTCTAATGTTAACTAAAGAGTATATTATTTTATTCTGTCTGAAACATTAGTTATATTATTTTATTCTATTTATATTATTTTATTCTAAAACATTAGTTATATTAAACATAAAATGAATAGTTTTAATCTGATTCTGAAAATATACATTTGTAAACCTTACTATGAATCTAAATAAAAATGCTATACTTTGTTAAAATTCATATTGTGCTTCTTTTAGGGGAGAAAAAAAAACCATTTTAATCAAATATTCAGATATTTATTTAGTAAAACAGAGATATTTATTAGCCCAGAAAAATAATTTTAATAAAAACGTTTGTTAGTCTTCCCCTTAAGACTCTTGAAATAAGTTGTTTTAGTCATTTTGCGGTTCTTTTTCTTCGTAAAAGTGATTTAATGGTTTTCAAACTTTTTTGGAGTTAATTAAAACATATTTGCTTCAAATCTAGAGTCTTCAAAATTAGAGTTTTTAAATTCCAAAATTTTTGAATTTATTTTTCTTTTCTGAATACCCCTAATATAAATTATAGATAACTGTTTATGTATTTTAAAAATACCTTTAGTATTTTCTGTAATATTACTGTAGAACAGACATCCAAATTTGCAAGATGTTGTCTGGAAACAGAAAATTTCAAATTTTAATGCATATTTTAAAACACAAAAAAATATTTTAACAAAATTGTTGAACTTACTGTACAATTTAAAAGGCAATTTGTCAGATTATAAGGGAGTGGAAGGTTGCACACGGTCATACACTAAAAACAAAATTAATAAAAATTAATGTCCAAAATACTATGTAATATTTAAAATATTATGCATACAATTTTGATAATAAAATGTATTCAAAACACACAGTTAAATGTTTAAGTTTATAAATAAATCACAAATTTCATTATCTAAAAAATATATATAGTTAAACTGCTAGATAAACAATAACTAATTATATTGTCTATAAAACTTAAAGCATAACTATGTCATTTATTTAAAAAAAAATGGTCACTTCATATTGTACTAATACTATTATATTAAAGCATTATTATTATATTAAAATCTCTATTAAAACAAGAAGTCTACTTAATAATATGGTCAGATAATAAGAAATGTTATACTCTGTTGTTTAAACATTATAAGGATATAATATCTGGACCAATATCTGGTGTATAAGCATTGTAATGTTAAACAAAGTAGATCACTGGTATAGCCGGGGTCGGCAAAAACCTGGCCCAGTGTTTTTTTTTTGGGTAATTTTGGGTTTTATCGAGTAAATTTGGGTTTTTTGGTTTTTTTTTTTTGTTTAACTGGTATTGAAAATTAGTATAAATTTATTGAAAATATATTTTATGTAACTTTATTTAATAATTTATAACAAGAATATTATAATTCTGCTTTGATAGCTGTTATTGTTGTTTATAATAGTTAATAATAATTTAGTGCAGGCGGTGAGATCTGTTGCAAGGACATGCCCCTGATAAGTGGCGTTAGCGCAGGTCTCGCGCTCTCCGAAATGTCATTGGTGATCGCAGTGCATTCCTGAAAGGGGATCACCATTCATCCACTACTTAATTCTAATTGGTTATTATGGCACTAACATTTTTTTACTTCTTACACCCATGAATTTTTGCGCTTTGTGAGTTTTATATTATGTATTTGTCACATTAACGACATTTATATATTTTTATGTTACACTGGTGATTATCAGTTCTCAATTTATTATCTAGAGTGTAGACCATATATAGTACCGCATTTATGAGACTTTTTTTTATATTGCTCAAACTATCATTTATTATCATTTTACTTACTATTTTGTCATCTACTTATTTTATTGTTTTTGATGGTGGGATTATTTTAGTAATATATACCATTAATTAACAAGTATTAAGTAATCATTTCTTCAATTATTACTTAATACTTGTAAATATATATATATATATATACATACATATATATATATATATATATATATATATATATATATATATATATATATATATATATATATATATATATATATATATACATATATATATATATATACATATATATATATATATATATATATATATATATATATATATATATATATATATATATATATATATATATATATATATATATATATATATATATATATATATATATATAGTATTAAGTAATAATTGAAGAAATATATATATATATATATATATATATATATATATATATATATATATATATATATATATATTTACAAGTATTAAGTAATCATTTCTTCAATTATTACTTAATACTTGTATATATATATATATATATATATATATATATATATATATATATATATATATATATATATATATATATATATATATATATATATATATATATATATATATATATATATATATATATATACAAGTATTAAGTAATAATTGAAGAAATGATAGAAAAAGGGTTGATAGAAATTACAAAATTATAGAAACTAAATTAAAAAAATACTAATTGCGAGTAAGAGAGTAAAAACAACAGTTCACAAAAAATGTTTTAACAACAGAAACTTTAAAATTTAAAAAACCTTTGTACTTTAACTAAAGTTTGTAGCAAAATTTAAAAATAATTTTGAGTTAACAAAAATTTATTATTACCTCTTTACAAGATACATTATAACAATTTTCATCAACTAATAATGAACTTGGCTGTTGACCATTTTCAACCTAAATATAAATAATAGTTAACAAATTTACTAACTATAACATTACTTATAATAGTTAAAACTTTATTAGATTTGTTACTAATGTAAAAGAAATAGCAACAATAAACTTTTTTATGTTTGACCTTAAAGACAATTCCTAAATATTTTGAGTATATTTCTGACGCACCCAAGTGCTATTAATTCCTGTTTTTAGTTCAATAGAATGCACTTTGAAAAATATTTAGTTTACTATCCCAATTATTTTATTGGGAAAACAAAAAGTCCCTTTTTTTCTCTATACAACAGTTAATACTTTAAAACAAATAATTTTAAAATTCATAATAAAACTTTATGGCATTCAAAAATTATGACCCTATAAAATTTGTAGTCTCCTTAAATTGAGGGAGATTAAAATTTTATATAGTCATAACATTGGAAGCCTAAAAGATTATTGTACAAATTTAAAAATTTATTAAGGAATTTATTAAGAATAGTAAAAAAAATTATTAACTTGTTGCTCTCACTTTTAGAGCAAGCGTCACCAAAACTAATCAAAATAACTAATAAAATCCATATGATTTAATTCAAATTATAACATTTTTTTAAATTGGACAAAGTGTTTTGGTATCATTAACTTATAGCAACAATTTCTTTTTCAGCAAATAGTCCAGTCACAAACATTAGAGAACATAAAACATGTGTCGATATTGAGCTTATAAAAAGAAACAAAACAGGGAAAATTTTTTGACAATCAGTTACAAAATGGTGAAATAAATTACCAGAGAAAATCATTACCACAAAAGGTGTAAAAATCTTCAAGAAAAAGGTTGATAAACTTATGGATATTATGAAACTCTGATCTCTATGGAAATTAAGAAACTGTAATTAGCTAAGGCTCATAATAGATTCAACATGGCGTTGAATCTTGAGGAACATATAAATAAATAAAGTTCAAGAACTTTTATATCAATATTGGTAAAATGGTATGCTAAATAGAAGGATGAAAACAATTCTTTTAATAAATATCACCTAAAAATATTTTAGCCAAAAACAATTTCTTTTTTGCAAAAAAAAAAAATACTAATAGTACTTGTAAAACCATTTATTATATTATTTATTAAAATGTTATGTTTCGTAGTAAAAAGGTAGTTACAATTTGTGAAGTTACTTGCAGTACTAATTAGCTATCATAGTTACTTTATTGCAATTCTCTGACAGGCGCACACAAAAATACCACTCCCTTTAGATATAGTGAGCTAATATTACCTACACTATTGACACAATGGTAATAATATATTGTTACATTATTGTTAACAATCGTCATGCCTTAGGGAGGACAGTCTTTCTTTTTTAGGTTCTGTTCTAATGTGATCGGTGTCGCTCTTATTGATATTTTTATAGTTAATTTTAACTAAACTGTTAAATATGCAAAACTTCTGACTAGTTGAGGCTATATAAGAAAACGATATATTGACAAAAATATCTACTCAATGGAAACTTCAACTAAATTTTTAACTTGAACTATTTCTAACTTATTTTCTAATTTAAAGACTCAAGTCACAAGTGGTTGAAAACTTATTTCCTGGCCTTGCAATTACATCTACTTTAATTCAAATTATTATTATTACTAAAATAATCACCCATATTCTAGTAATGATAACACTTATATAGCCAATTGTTATTGCTAATGTATATTTAAACAAAAGTTTTTTATTTTGTTTGAACTAAATTTTTTTCTAAAATTTTTAAGGAAATAAAGGAACATAATCTTTAGTTTAAAAATTCCTTTGAATATTTTGTTACTTTCCTTAATCTAAGTTTAATGCATTAAACTTAGATAAAAAGTTTTTATTGTCGCGAATGACACTTAAGCAATATGCAAGCAACAACATGTTAGACATATGGGATGTTGGGATGTGAAAACATGGGCACTGACTTATCTTCCTACGGCTAATTGTCATTTAGAGGTCACATACCTGGGTCAGGGAAGACAAGTTCAGCTCACTAAAGAGCATCAATACCCGCTTCGCTGAACAAGACTCTTGGCAAGAGTAAATTTAGGAAGAATAAAAAAGTTGGAGTTGAAGGAGAAGTTAAGTTAGAAAGATAGCATAGAGAAAGCGGGCAAGTAATTGTACTGGATGTTAGAACGAGCAATTCGTAATATAAATTCGATTTCCTAATAAATGTTTAGTATAAACACAGTTTGTGGATTACGTTTGTTTATGTAATATTTTATGTTTGGGATGTGAGAAAATGTAATTAGACGTTCATTGTTAAAAAAGTTTACATACAATTCTGCGCATGTTTTACCCGTGCACAGTCTCGTTTTCGTTAGGGAGTGAAATCACTGATCTCTATAATATTATAATATTATTATAGATCAGTGAGTGAAATTAGTTTAACCTAGCTTCGTAAGGGTATGTAAAATATTAAAATTTTATATTTATATTAAAAATGGCTGACGATGTTTACTCTGTTGCTGATGTTAAACAGTAACTTTCTGAAAGCAGTTAAGGCACTTGAACTATTATAGCGTCTGTATGATATTTTGTTGACTACGACATAGTTCCGTGGTCTGTAAATTATGAAAAGACGAAAAATATTAAAATCATAAATTTTGTCGTATCATAAAATATAAATGTTTGAGCGAAAAAGCCCAGACTAAAGTTTATTATTATTATTTTTTTAAATCATCTTAAAATCACAATCACTCGTTCAAATTTGAATAAGATTTTATATTAATACGTTTTTTAGGTGAAATGAACATTATAGTTTAATAATATGATCTGTTCTGATCGTTTAGTGGCAATTTTCCATAATTATAAGCTCTTTAAAACTTGAAGTTTCTTAGAAGTAATATTAAATATTACAATCATATTTAAAAGTTTTATAATATTTAAAGAAACTTTTCTTTTTTATATATAACTTTCAAATCCTTTTCACTACCCGTAATAGTGAATCTAAAGAACACTATTTTGGAGTCTTTAGATTAATTCTGCTCATAGGCATTAACATAAATTTAGTTAAAATCTTTTGATAAAGTTCCTTAATTTACTACTGATCCTAGTTCTAAACGGTTCTGACGTATATTAACTATATATATATATATATATATATATATATATATATATATATATATATATATATATATATATATATATATATATATATATATATATATATATATATATATATATATATAGTTAATATACGTCAGAATATATATATATATATATATATATATATATATATATATATATATATATATATATATATATATATATATATATATATATATATATAGTTAATATACGTCAGAATATATATATATATATATATATATATATATATATATATAATATTTTATGTATATATATAATATTTTATATATATATATATATATATATATATATATATATATATATATATATATATATATATATATATATATATATATATATATATATATATATATATATATATATATATATAGTTAATATACGTCAGAACCGTTTAGAACTAGGATCAGTAGTAAATTAAGGAACTTTATCAAAAGATTTTAACTAAATTTATGTTAATGCCTATGAGCAGAATTAATCTAAAGACTCCTAAATAGTGTTCTTTAGATTCACTATTACGGGTAGTGAAAAGGATTTGAAAATTATATATATAAAAAAAAAGTTTCTTTAAATATTATAAAACTTTTAATTATGATTGTAGTATTTAATATTACTTCTAAGAAACTTCAAGTTTTTTTAACTGATCATGAAAAAAGCTGGTTTTTAAAGATGTACACCATTCTGTTATTGAGGTAAATAAAAAAAAAATTGAACTAATCTAAAAAGTTTCTCTTACCGGGTAGGTTTTTTCCCTTTATTTAAATATAGATTTATAAAAAATATTGTTAAAATTTGTAAAACACTACTTTATTTTAAAATACAATATTTTAAAATTTAGTTGATACTACTATAGAGTAATTTACTTTTTTTCAATTTTTTGATATGGCTAATGATGTTATGAAATGGGTAAAGGAATGTGACGAATGCAAACGCATGGAAAAAATAAAAACTGTTGCTCCCGAGATAAAACCTATTGAAGTAAATAGGCTATGAGAGTTTTTGGGTATTGACCTAAATTGGTCTATTACCTGTTACAAAACAAAGTCAAAAATATCTTTTAACTGTCACTGACATATATTGAGCAAATATATATAAGTTTTTCCTATTCCAGAAAATTCTGCATTTTATATTTCAAAGTGCCTTACCACTTTGTTTTATCGATTTGGATTCCGACCAAAAAATTTTTTCAATCAAGGCAGAAAATTTGTAAACTGTATTAATGAGCTTTTTTTCTTTATTTAATGTCAAGCATTTAATAACTTCAGCTTACCACAGACATACGAATGGGCAGGATGAAAGAACTAATCAGACTGTTAAGAGAGCTTTTTCAAAGTTATGTAATGAAGCCCAGGATAACTGAAATGAGTTATTAGAACACAGTTTTGCTCGGTCTTTGTACATGTGTACAAATATTGACTAAGTTTACGCCATTCTTTCTAAGGTTCGGCAAAGAAATGCAACTATTTTCAGCTTTATCATTAAATCCAAATAGTTTAAACCTTATTGATAAAAAAAATATTCATTAATATCATTTTTAATATAAGATATCATTTTTATTCAAAACAGTTGACAAAGTTTTAATAAAAAATTGCAGAAAAAATGGCCATAAAGGAAGTTGAAAGGAGCATGATTGGCATGACCGGCTAAAATTACAGGTTTTAAACAAAACGGTGCTTTTGTAAATCGTAATAGCAAAGTTTGGAGAAAAGCTGATGCTTTATGTAGCATGAAACCTTATATAGAAGAAAATAAGACTTTATCAGCAGCACTAACATTAAAAGAACATGAATATTATCTTCCGATAAATATCAAAATGACTAAAAATGAGAAGAACATAAAAAAAGTAACCAAAACCAACAAAAGAAAAAAAAATGTAGCAAGATAAACATTTTTTTGTGGAAAAAAAAAATAAAAATTTTGGGTATAACTTTTCATTATGTTTTCATATATCAAAAATCACATCTTAAAAATTGCATAACCTTTGAAACACTTGACCTACAGAGATGACTTTTATATTTTTAGAAAATTCAAGGTTAGAACTATGAGTTTCAAAATAAATAATATTTAAAAATATTTTTTATTTTGAAATCTCCTCACATATCCTACATATAAGCAACATGCAAGAGTTTTATTAAAAATATTAGCTTTGTTTTAGATGGAATTTTATCTTTAGCTTAAATATTTGAATGGAATCTAATCTTCAGCTCAAATATTTTTTATAAATATTTTATAAGAATTTGGGGTCCTAAGGATGGTTCTTTTTTTCCTTTAATAATAAATTATAAACAAAACAAAATTGAGTTGTCAGGTGTTTGCTGCCTTTACTTTGTGCATTAGCATTGTCTTCTTTTTGATGCCATTCTACATGGTGATTTAAACAGTTTAAAACAACACATCGGTAAACCACTACAACACTTTGGATAAAATCTATTCAAAGTTTACTGATTGATATCTTGTAGTTGAGTTATACAAAACCGGGCGAACTCTGTAAGCTCAAGAATAGTTAGCCGTGCTGCTGGTGCTCGATTGCACGGAAGATGATGCGTTGAAGTAAATATAATGGTAACTAATCAAATTTTTCTTTGAAGTAGTCGATATAGATAGCACTAACAACTTTGTTAGGCAGTGCGTTCTATGGGTGAGCAATCCAATTGTTGAAGAAGTTAAGTAAACAAGACATTAATTGACAATTTTACGATAAAAGCGCTCCTTTTTCAACTAGTATTTAGGCAATTTAAACCGCCTAGATATTGGTAACGCGCTTGCCTCGGAAGTACAAGCTCGTTGGTTCAAAGCTATCTCTAGGCAAGTTTTGCGAGATACGAATAGTTAGGAATAAGTACTCTGTAATAAGAGCGTATGGACTTCTTGGGACAACTAAAAAAATATTTTAAATTTTGTTTTAAATTGTTATTTTAGTGGTTGTCAAGTTAGGAAAAAAACAAGCTACTATTTTGTTTACTACATTGTATCCTTGGAAATTGATGTAACGGTCTATTTTGGGCGTATTTTAATGTAATTGTATCTTCAACAATAAGAAATAAGACAATAGAATAGTTTTTGAATGAAAGAAAACAAGAAGCAGTGACTGTTGCAAACACTACAACGCCAAAACCGTTGGTAAAACACAGTTAAATTATGTTCTTTTTCTATTCTATAAAAAATTTGTGTTATTTAAGTAAAAAATCTGATTTATTTAAATGCCGAAATGTGATATTGAAACCTTTGTTTATAAACTAATTATAAATTACAAAACATTTTCGGTGTTTCTAAAAAATTAGTAAAAAGAAATCTTCTGGTGCTCAAAATCGTGCCAAAGCTACTAAAAAAGAGCAAAAGAAGCAAAAATTTGATTGACTTTAATGGATTTGGAATTTACAACCATAACTGTTTTTTGTATCTTTTATTTTAACAACCTCTGGTATTATATTTTTTTCTTCTAACAACCTCTGATATTAAACGATATCTACTGGAAAGAATGTGATGCTTAACCTGACTTGGTAATATTTTATGCTTACCCCTCATTGTGGCCAGTTGTTTTGAGTCAAAAAGATTGATATGTAATCATTTTAAATGAACTCCCTTCACATTCTTTGAAGAATTATTCTTCTGATTCTAAAATGAGAATCTTTCCTTTGAATATGTTTTATTAATCTTTGTCTAATAAGAAAAAAGTAGATAGAGATTTTTCGGTTTGGAGCTCGACCACCAAGCCTCTCTACTGTTTTCCTTGCTTACGTCTGGGTGCAAAAGCACTATTTAAAAGCCGGGAATTGGCTCTTTTTTATGGAACAGACGGGTTAGGAATCAATACAGGAAACTCATAGACTGTGTGAAGCAGTATCAATTCATCCAATTGCACCAAAAGTTCTACATAAATTGGAATAAAAGGCATACATTCGTCTTACCAGCTCCACTGATATAGATTCAGAGCTCCAGAAGCAAATCAGTTCTAAAACAGCTAAATGAAGGACAATTATTTGTCGAAAAATTTATTTTTAAGCGCCTCATTTACTTATCTTAATGATTTTGTTGATTGACTTTTTGTTCATTGATTTTAAAACTAGTATTTTGATTTATATGTCAATTTCGATTAATGAATTCCCAATTCAGAAAATTAATAGTAACGCAGAAATACAATGTGCTGAATCAGAAACAGATAAGCGCTGCGCACACAAAACTTTAAATTTTGTAATTTCTTGGTTTGAAATAGGAGTACCGTTTTCCATTTTTGATTCGTTCTCTATTTTATGGCGCTATCGAAGGCCCTGATGGCAGTCGCTAGTCAGTGTATTATTTTTCATTGTAATGCGCATCTGCCATGACGGCTTGAAATCTTCTAATTTCTTATCGATGATTTTTTCAATGGCTACGAAGGCATCACTATCTCGTTTTGCTTTAGTACTTCCTTTGAATGGTTTCAGCATGAATGTTGTGATAATAATTTTTTTATATATTTTTTTTTACATCAGCACTTTTAATTAAACCAATATCATTCATTACATGTAGAACTTCGTACTTGAAATTAAAACTATTTTAACTTAACAATTTTTTTTTTTGCGCTTAGTATAATTGAAAAAGAATACTCGCATTTACACATTTGATCGAAGTTTTACACTTACACTCCGAGATATCTACCACTAACAATGATTTTTTTTAAACCTTCAAATCTCATTTTGAACTTTATTTTTTCTTTATCATAGTTTTCTTTAGTAGTTTACTTATTTTTTTACGCAAAGCTTTATCAAACACAGATTTAACTTGTTGTGCGACACTATTTAAAATATTAGAAAACTTAACTGGTTTGTTGTTTGAAAGCTTCTTTATTATATTAAATAAAACAACAAAATATTTGAATAAATATTCGCTTGTCCTTGATTCGACAATCTAAAAACGAAATAACTTAAATTTTGTACCTTGGAATAGTTTATCTTAAATTTATTTCATCATAACTTTACAAACTGCAAAAACATATTTCTATTTTTGGTTTTAAATATTGTTATTTTGTTTTATAATAAAAGCTTATGCGTAATATTTCAAAACAGTTTAATAATTCAGATAAATCACTGTTACTTTTTATGGCTAAAAATCTGCTAAAATTGTCATCAATAATCAGAGATATCAACAAAGTATAACTGCATCATAGTAGCATAACATCTGACAATAGAACAATATATTCATCATAATATTATGACGTCATTTTTTAATATCCAGTGAGTACGTAAGTACGTCAAACTGAATATACTTGCGTATCATTTTTAATTCTAATAACCCTTAATACCTAAAAGTTGCGAGGCAACCTTTATTTTAAATGCATCGTGAAAAATTGTATTTCTTGACATTTAGAAAATGTATTTTTAAATACTTTGCGATGTAGATCTTAATACTTATCTCTTTTATATCTTACTTCTCTCTCTCACTTTCTTTATATAATAATATAAAACAACTGTGAAGGTGGAGTAGTTAAATGAAAAAGTTATAATTAATAATAACAAACATAATATGAAAACAAGGATTACTATTTTTCAAAAATATGATAAACGAATCATAATTATTAAAATTTAGAACAATTGTGTTCTATTTACACCTACCTTTAAATGCATACAATAAGAGTATAACTGACCCCATATAAACCACTTTTGAAATGTTTGAGAAGAATATGGTTTACATATTTCTAGGTTTGTTTCTGTAGTCTTTATGTAAAACAAAGCGAAAATAACTAAAGTAAAACTAAGAACTTCCTTGAATTTTTGTACCATAATTTAACATATAATACGACAATACAAAAAAAGATAGATGATCTCTACTTCAATACTACGTTTAATAAATCAATATTCTATTATTACCATCTAATATCAAACTTCTGGTCAGTTTTTTTTTTTTACAGTTTATGATGTCATTATCGAGTTAAAAAAACGTTATGATAGTAATATTTAGGAAATCTTAGTATGTTTTTTACATAATTTAAACTAAAAATTAATTGTTTTGTATTTCATGGTTGATTACTTCTTCGTAAATAACAATTTAGCTGGTATTTTATCAATAAAAAACATTGATTAAGGGATATGCTCAAATAATTTGAAACGTTATTAACAACGAAGATAATTTCTAAACGTATGTTATTAATATCTATTTAATAGTGTTATATAACACGTTTATTGTGTTAATTGACACAATGAGATATGTTACGTAATATCAAAGGAACGGAACTGGGATGATTTCTTAATTAGTTAACTCAGTATGGTGTCTTGGTAGAATACAAATTAAAAAAATTGGAATTTTAATTATTCTCATATGAAATAAGAACAAAATTACAAAAGTTTAAGGTTTTTGATATACTATACTGAAATACATAAAATCGTGAATCTGCCAGTTTTTAAAAGTGTTCAGATTATTAAATCTTTTATTAATGTTTCCGTTGCTTATTTGGTTTAATGGTTTAAACCGATTTTATCAAATGGTTGATTTGATTATAAAATATTTTTTGTGAAATTATCGTGGATTTAAAAAAAGTACTTAATTCATGGAGATAGCTAAGCTGTACTATAATAATAGTTCAGATAGTCATTATCATTATGATATATTTGATGACATAATCATCTGACCTTTAAGTAATTTTAAACATGCCTTTTTTTATTTTGTATGTAATACAACTATAAAAATGACTAAGCCTTAATAACAAAATCTTTTCGATTGTTTGTACAAAAACAATGTACAAAATTTATTGTTAATTTATACATATGTAAGAAAGTTATCAATAAATTTAAAATTTTATTAAAGCATGGTGAGACGTTTAAATATTTTATTTATGCAAATTTACAACCGGCCCTAAAATAAAGAAACCACCCTAAAATTAAGAAACAACCTTAAAATGAAGAAACAACCCTAAAATGAAGAAACCACTCTAAAATGAAGAAACAGACCTAAAATGAAGAAGCTTTTAATTTGACATAACTAAAATTCTTTAAAGCTTTTATAATATTGATCAACTTTAATTTTATTAATAGGTTTCGATTTTGAATGAAAGTTTTTTTAAATATGTTTTAAAAATTTAAGTGTAAGGCACCAAATTTTTTAACTTGGTGTTTCACAATTTCACTTTTTATTGCCCTAATTTTGCAATTAGGTGCGATCCTTAAATCCTACAATTAGTTGCATTTTTTAATCCTACAATTAGGTGCAATCAAGGAGACTTAGCTAGAGAAAGTGAAGTGAAAATACGTCATTTTTTCAAAAAATCGTCTTTGTTGTAACATAGCATAACTTATCATAACTTAAAGTAAACCACTTACATTCCACTTTAAAAAAAAAAAAAAACATTCAATGATATTGTTTCAAAACGTCATATTCAATCAAAGCATTGCAAATAAAAGATAAAAGTTTAGAAAAATTGTTGAACACTATTTACTGAATTAGATAGTAGTTGGATAGTACCCGACGGGCATTTGTTTTTAAAAGTTACGATCTAAATGTATTTTAAATGTCTTTTAAACGTCTTTTAAACATTAATGTTTAAAAGACGTTTAAAAGACGTTTAAAACACATTTAGAACGTAACTTTTAAAAACAAATGCCCGTCGGGTAGTTATATTTTGGATAGTAGTTATATTTATAGTAGTTATATTATATTTGGATAGTAGTTATACTTGGATAGTAGTTATATTTTTATGTTTTGTTTTTTGAAACGACTAAAAATAAATATCTAGGTTAGAGTTAATTTAATAAATATTTAGATTAGAAATAGTTGTATTTTCGCCGGATTTACAAAAAAAGTTTATATTTCTATATTCAAAATATGGCTCTTTGTTTTTAGGTCCGGCAAAAATACTTTAAAGTATAATAAAATTCTATTTATATTTAAAAAGTTCTTTGCCAAAAAACGTTCATAAAGAACGTAACAATTCTATATAGAAAGAAAAAGATAAAATTAAAACATTAGGCATTGTCTAAAATTTTGATATTCATACCACTCTCATCATTAGTATCGAGGAATTTAAAAAACGATAAAAAAACAAAAAAAAAATCACCTGATCGTGATTTTTTTTTTGATTGCTTTATGATAGTTTAAAAGTGGTTAAAAACCTATCTAGTCAACTATTTACGGAGTAATTCAAAAGTAGGAATTCTAATTTTTTGAATATCTTGGTTTGAAAAAATATTTTCGATAAAATATTTAAAGAAAACAATAATTTTTTTTTATTGAATATGGTTCCAAGTAAAATTTTGATAAACCTAATTGTTTAAACAATTTTATCAAGTTAGTAACGCCGATGTTAGAGCGCGTGTTACAGCGGATGTTTTGTGGATGTTACAGCGGATGTTATTGTGGATGTTACAGCGGATGTTACTGTGGATGTTACAGCAGATGTTACTGTAGATATTACAGCGAATGTTACTGTGGGTGTTACAGCGGATGTTACTATGGATGTTAGAGCAGATGTTACAGCAAATGGTTGAGCTTGTTCAAGTTTGACTAAATTGTATGCTGATAAAAATATTTATTAAAAAACGTCTTTTACAGCGCATATCAGGTAGTATCTATGTTATAATTTTTGCTAGTTACCAGTCTAATGGATAAAGAGGTATTTTTAATTTTTAAGTATTTTTATTTTAGCTTGCCTAAAATAACTGTTTGTTTTATAATCTTTAAATTAGAGTCAGATACCCTTTATGTAAACACTAAAGTCTACAAATGCATTTTTGTTAACTCTAGTAGGAGTTGAGACTTCTTTGCTTAAAATATATAAAGCCAATTTCCGTAAAAGTATATTGGTCAATTTCATCAAGATGTTGAAATTGAACTAAATACTTCAGTAGTAAAATTTTCAATTGCATACACGCAAAGAATGAAATTTAAAACATATTTAATAAGTTTAACATTAGTTATTAGTTAGTAGGTAGCAACCAATATTTTTCTTTTACAAAATAAGTTAAATTGAGATTAAACTTTTACGATATAAATTGGATAACCGAGTTGGATTAAAACTAATTTTATAAAAATTTCTCCTGCTACCCTAGGTTTGTTTTATATAATAAAATGAAATTTGATTCAAACAATTTTTGAATAAAACGTTTTTTTCATAACTTAGTCTTGTATATCTTGATAAAAACATTATTTGGAATCACCATATTGATTATATAAGCACAAAAATTTCTAAAAACATGGGGATCCTATATAAATAATGAATCTATTTCAATAAGAAAGTCTTAATTCAACTTTATTACTCATTTTTACATAGTTATTTAAATTATTCCAATGTTGCTTCGGGAACTACAGAAAAAAGTAAGTTGCTACGTCTTTATCTCCGTCAGAAACGCGCAATCCGTATAATCAATTTTGCAAATGGCTTCTCTCATTCGAAGCATTATTTTATTGAAATGAGAGTTCTGAATATATACGAGTTAAATGTATTATTCATTTTTTGTTTAGTATATATGTGGATAAATAACTTATCCCAAGCTGTCTTCAAAGATCTTTTCTCTTTTAATTTAATCAGTAAATATATTGACAAATAATAACTTTTTAAATGAACCTTTTTGTCAAACAAATTTTAATCAATTTGGTGTTACCTATCGACCCTTTGGAATAAAATTGTTTTGCCGAATTTTAATTTTGAAGTACCTTTTACTTTTTGCCTTTAAAAAAAAAAACTGGAAAACTTTATTCTTTTATTAGATGATATTGAGTTATTATTATATAAAAGTATAACAAATATTAAAAGCTTATTTTAATAGAGTTATTTTTAGGCTCATACTTTTAAATATTTCTCGATAAAAATTGGTTAGCTTTCCACCCTCAGATTTTAATAAGCATTTGCTCTGATAAAGTTTTAGTTGTTATGGAGATTTTGATTTTGAAATAATCGCTGCTTAAATGAAACACTTGTTAAAGTATAAATTTAGCTTAAATTACAAATTCTTTTAAACATGTCTTTGGAATCTATTTATAATATTTAAAAATAAATATAAAAAAAAGAATTATCTTTTTTGATTGCAGTTTTTTGCTTATGCTTATGAATTTTCTTACAAATATAATTTTTTTTTTTATTATAAAAAGTATATGCTTTTTAATAATATTTTTATTTATCTTTATATTTTTTTAAATACTTAAACTATTATTTAAAATAATTTAATCCAAACGTTACCGCCTGTTTAGCAACGTCAACCAGAGGCAGTTTTACGCGTGTGTATATGTGTGGAGGGGGTCCACCCCTCAAAGAAGGCAATTTTTGACACAATTCAGTCGTGTAAATTTTAGTTTTGAGAACCTTTTTTTAAAAGATGCCAGTCGGTACTTTTGAATGATTCAACCCCCATCCTTCCTCATTTTATTTGTAGAATCACCTCTAGAGGTGATTCTACAAATAAAATGTAATATATAAAATGTAATATAAAATGTAATATATAAAAAAAATGTAATATATAAAAAATAAAAATAGAGCTCTAACGTCAACTAATATATGTTATTACATTTATATCAATACTAATTAAAAAAAAGCAATTTAACGATATAGTTTATAGATTATATTCGATGATTATAGTTTTAACTAATTGTTTAGTAATATAATTTATGATATTTCTGATAAAAAGTTCAAAAATAATTCTTCCAAGTAAACATTCTTTAAATAACATTTTTAAAGTCGTTGACAAAAGCTAAATTAATTAAGATTCATGCATATCTAGATTTACAAATCTTTTTGTTTTTGCCACTGAAAAAATTAATTTTTCTAAAAATTGAAAAAAAAAAAAAATTAATATCATTTATTCACAATCAATAAAAATTTAAAAAATATTAATGTAGAGCGAGAAGCCATGGCGCTCTGTGATAAAAATACATTCTTTAGCTTTCAAATTATAGTTAAGGTTTTATAGTAAAGATACTTCATGTTTAAACTTATTTAGATTTCTTTAATTCACCACGTTTTGGCTTAAAATGTTCCATGGTTTGACCACACGGTAAATGAAGAAGTTTTTTCTTTCCGCGTAATTTTGAATAAGCTGTGCTTTAATCTGTTTGGTGTGTCAACGTGCAAATAAAACCGTACTTTGAAGACGTTGAGTTTGGTTGACACGGAGGGACCGCAAAGTTAATTATGTTAATTATGTCCCGGGATTTCCCGCGATTTAATAGAAAAAACCTTTTAAGTACTAATCAAACACTTAAAAAATGATATTTTTAATAATAGTATAACTAAAATATTTAATACATTAATGAACCTAAAATTAAAATTAAAAACATGTTTATTAAGATAAAAAAATGTTAATTTTGTTATATTAAAAGTTATCTACAACTTTTAAAAATTAATGAATCTAAGTACTAAAATGGTAACACAGTATAAATAAAAATAATAATAATAATAATAATAATAATAATAATAATAATAATAATAATGATAATAATAATAATATATATATATATATATACATATATATGTATATATATATATATATATATATATATATATATATATATATATACATATATATATATATATATATATATATATATATATATATATATATATATATATATATATATATATATATATATATATATATATATATATATATATATATATTTATATATACATATACACTAATATATATACACTAACCCAACTAAATTTTGCATTTATAAATAGCTATTTATCTTATGGCAATATTGTTTAGGGTAGGGTAGAGCGGGGCTAGTTGAGCATAGGGGCAAGTTGGGCAACTAAAATATCTAAAAAACTATTCATTCCATGGCAAAAAGTTGTTAGTGCAGCTGCTAAAGAATTTGACATCAATAGAATGACATTAGCAAAATATATTTTAAAACTAAACTCTGGTGGTTACCCAACCATGGGTTATTCAAAACCTAAATTAACTTTTTCCCAAGAGCAAGAAAGCGCCTTAAAAAATTATTTATTGCAAATGGCATCTATATTTTACGGCTATACTCCTAAAAATGTTCGATCTCTTGCTTATGAGTGTGCTCTTCAATACAAATCAAAATATCAGATTCTTGGACAGTAAATAAGATGGCTGGTAAAAAGTGGATGACTAGTTTTTTAAAAAGAAATCCTCAATTATCTATAAGGAAACCTGAAGCAACTAGCCTTGGTAGGGCAACATCATTTAAAGCTGAAAATGTAAAAGTATTTTTTGATAAGCTAGGTGAAGTTATGGGTATATACAAATTCAGTGCTTCACAAATATGGGACATTGACGAAACTTGTGTATCTACAGTTGTAAAACCTAGTAAAATTGTGGTTGCAAAGGGCAAGAGAAATGTTAGTGCTATGACATCTGGGGAAAGAGGCACTAATGTCACAATGGTAACCACTGTATCTGCCTCAGGAAATACAGTACCTCCAATGTTTGTGTTCCCTCACAAAAATTACAAAGATTATTTTGTTAATAATGGTCCACCGGACTGTATTGAGGTAGGTAATGAAAGTGGTTGGGTTACAGATATTGAATTCAAAAATTTTATGCAGCATTTGATTAGGCATGTGAAGCCTTCAAATGAATATAAAATTCTGTTGATTTTAGACAATCACTCTTCTCACTTGCATTTTGAAACACTAAACTTAGCAAAGGAGAATGGAATAGTCATATTGTCTTTCCCACCACACTGCAGCCATAAGCTGCAGGCACTAGATGTATAGGTGTTTGGACCTTTTAAAAAGTACCTATCAGTTGCACAAGATGCATGGGTGAGAACCAATCCTGGAAAAGCCATAACAATTTATGATATACCAAAAATTGTGTACTAACATTAAAAAACGTGTACTAACATTACAAAGGGTTTTCAAAAAACTGGTGTATACCCGTACAATGCAAACATTTTTGGTGATGTTGATTTTTTTACCATCATTTGTCACAGATTGTATAGAACCAGCAAATCTCGTTTCTGAGCTATCACACATAGCTCATTCTGAAGTATGTTTAACTTAATATTCAGGTCAATCTGTCAAAATTAGTATTTATAAAGAGACAACGTTACTTATTCTTGAAACTCCTAAAACATTTTCTCCAGAAAATGTGCAACCTTACCCAAAAGCAGCACCAAGAAAGAAACATTTGACAAGACGAAGAAAAAAGAAATTCTAACAGATACTCCAGAAAGAATTATATTAAAACAGCAGCAAACTAAGAAACTTTTGAGAAACAAAAAAAAATTATCTACTTGTCAATTTAAAATATTAAAAAAGAGTGTGGTAATAAAGAGACTCTGTTACATAGTATATTTAAAAAAGTTAAGAAACAATCAAACAAAAAAACTGAGAAGAAAGAAATTTTAAAGAAACCAATCTGCCAGTCAATCCTTTGCAGATCATGGTAATAAGGAGACTCTGCTGCTTAGTATATTAAAAAAAGTTAAAAAACAATAAACAAAAAAACTAAGATGACAAAAAAGTTAAAGACAAGTGTAGAACACGATTACGCTTGTCTGGTATGTTGGGAAATTTATTCTGAAAGTCTACCAAAAGAAAATTGGATCAAGGTTGCAATCAATGGTCTCATTCAAAATGTGATTTTGATAAAGTGTTTAGTTTGAAGACTAACATAAATTGTTTAGTTTGAAGACTAACATAAAGTGTTTAATTTGAAGACTAACATAAAGTGTTTAGTTTGAAGACTAACATAAAGTGTTTAGTTTGAAGACTAACATAAAGTGTTTAGTTTGAAGACTAACATAAAGTGTTTAGTTTGAAGACTAACATAAAGTGTTTAGTTTGAAGACTAGCATAAAGTGTTTAGTCTAGTTTAAAGGCTAATATAAAGTGTTTAGTTTAGTTTGAAGACTAACATAAAGTGTTTAGTTTAGTTTGAAGGCTAAGATAAAGTGTTTAGTTATTATTTTATCATAATATTAACAAGTTTTGATTTAAAATGTTTTAAAAAAGTTGAGTTTAGTTTTAAGATTGAAAAGTTTTTTTTTTTTTTTATTTTAGTATCAAAAAAATTAGTTTTGATATTCATATCTTAAATAATTTATGATTCAACATTAGTCAAAAAAAACGCCGAAGGTTTTTTAAAATATTTTCCATGAAACATTAAACCGTTATAACACGCGGTCTACCGAAAGATTTAAAAAACCTTTCTGTACATCAAAACTTACAAGCTTTGCCATTTCGTATCGTGACCCAATGCTATAGAACTATTTTACAAGCCTGAGTGGTAAACTTAAAAAAGCCAACACCTCCCGAAAATTTAAAAAAGAACATAATTGAACTTATTGCCAATCAAGATTCTTTACATGAGTTTTTCTAACAATACACTTTTAATTCCAATTTTTATTATCAAAGGTTATTGATGATAAGATTTTATCTTCTTCAGGTTCTCCTGTCTCTCCGGTCTCGTTATTATTATATATATAATAAAATGTACTTGTATTTATATTTTTAAACATTTTATCGGAAATTAACCTTAATTGTAAATGGTTATTTGACAAAAAATATAAAAATAAAATTAAAAAATTAAAAAAAAAATTTCGGGATCCCAGGATTCCGGGATTGCCATCCCTAATTACGATAGAGATGTATTTTGTGACTCAATGTTAAAATTGTTTGATTTGGACTATATCCCAGTGGGGACAGGTACGTTTTGCAAACGTTTTTTAAACGTTTTATGGTCGCTTGAAGGATGTATGTTTAAGTAAAATGTTCAAAAAACGTTTATAAAACGTTTTAATGTTTTTTTCTTTTATTTAATTTCGTATTTTACGGAACATTTAAAAAACGTTTAGAAAACGTTTTTTCGAAGCCGAAAACGGTGCAATGCGCATGTGCAACTTTACTTATGCATCTTAGGTAAACTTCTTAGGTTACCTAAGAAGTTTACCTAAGATGCATAAGTAAAGTTGCTCTTCCTCCATACCAATTTTTTATAAACGTTGGATGTGGATGAAAATATCGTTATTTTTAATTCAGAGTTTGAAGCTCAGGAATTTTTTACACATCTTAATAAACAACATAAAAACTTAAAATTTACTATGGAAAAAAAACAAAATATTAAATTGCATTTTTAGATGTTCTTATCAATGTCTGTTTCGCTTTCCACATCAGTTTATCACAAAAAAACATATAGGGGTCTTTTGCAAAAATTTTCCAGTTTTGTTCCTTTTAGTTATAAAATTAGTCTTATATGTTGTTTAATTGATAGAACGTATAAAATCAACAACACATGGCTAGGATTTAATAAGGACATAAAAAATCTATTAACTATTAAAAAAATAATAATAATATCCACCTAAAATAATCAACACTGAAATTAAATTATTTGTTAACAAAAAGTTAAATCCATCTGTGATAAATAGAATTGATAACCCTAATTTAAGATATTATAAACTTCCATTTATAGGATTTTACTCAAATTTTACTAAGTCTAAAGTTAATGAAATCATTAAAAAATATTGTAAAGATGTTATGATTAACTTAATTTTCACTTCCAACAAATTACATAACAGTTTATGTATTAAAGATCCACTTCCTAAGCTGCTCAAATTCAATGTTGTTTACAAATTTTCTTGTGCTGGATGTAATGTCAGTTAAATTGGAGAAACCTCCAGACACTTAACAACAAGGATTTATGAGCACCTTACAAGTGACAAACAATCTAATGTTTATAAACATTTAATTTCATCTGTTGATTGCACTCCATATTAAATGAGAAAACCCATCTTTAAATAAACATACTGTTCATTATAATATAAATTTGTCAATCTAGTTTTTTTTTTTTTATGCTTTTACGGTATAATAATTTGTATTATAATTTTTATTGGTTTATAACAATTCTATTTGTCTGTTAATAATTCTCTGTAATGTCTTCAAATTTTGAATTTATATTTATATCCAGATATATATATATATATATATATATATATATATATATATATATATATATATATATATATATATATATATATATATATATATATATATATATATATATATATCAAGTAGATTTTTTTCTACAGACATCAACATATACGACTATTATTGGTCATTTGACATAGAATTACGCAATCTTGTCTTGATTAACTTTAACTTAGAAAACGATCTTTCACATTCGGCTTGTGTTACAGAAATAGTACATATTATTTTATAAATATGATACAAATTGTCATAGGTTTTGTCGTTGAGTCTATATGCAGCAAGAATTCGTAACACACAAGATGGGCACGATCCGCATGCTCCATTTGTATGCTGATAACAGAGCGGTTCTTCTATATCATCCTTTTGATATGCATTCTCTCTCAATGTTGTTGTTAAGGGCAAGGACAATTTCAAAATCTCATAGTTAGTGACAAATGATAACAATTCGGCCTTTATTTTATCATCGTCGGCATCTGGTAAAAATTTGATAATGCTATGTAAACTGTTTTCAGGAATTCCCGAAATGGCAAGATCACCAAAGTTTGATGTATCAAAACATGCCATGTCCATATATAATTGTCGGTGTGAAGTGAAACGTGACTCAAGACTTTGAACTACCTGATCCATCACCACATTATAAGTGTGAATTTTGTAGTGTTCCAAAGCTTTAGATTCGTCACGTTCGTCTACTGTATGTTCATCTAACATCGTTGGTGTCTTCCGCTTCCGTTTAGCTGGTAGTTCTATCTTTACCTCTAACATGGTTTTAGTTCTCTGAATGATGCTTGCATTTGCCATCCGTACAAATTGAAGAGCGTTATTATGAACATCATCAAAAAGTCTTGATTGACTTTTCAATTCAATTACGGCCTTCTCCACCATCTTGAATGCAACCAACACATTTAATCCACGAGTTTGCAGGTATATTGAAAGTGGTCCCACTTTTTCAAAAACTTGCAGGTAGGTAAAGGCAGTCAAAATGGTGTCAAATTTCAGTGTCTTAGCTTCATGACGTGTCTTTGTATCAAAATTTTCTGATTCGCTTATACATGACAGACATAAAATTAAATTGACAAACACTGTTGAAGATGGTTCAGCAAATGTTCCGAATATCGCTGTTGCAGCATTTGATTTACCCAACCATCTTGTTTCACCAATCAATTTCAATCTTTTCATTATATCCATTCCAATATGTGTTTCAACAAGTTTAATCCATGTTGCCATTCGCTTATATGACACTTTTATGAATGTTGAAACATTTTGCAAAAGGGTAAAAAATGAAACTGCCTGAATGCAGCAACTGGTTGCCTCCTTCACAACTAAGTTGAGAACATGAGCATAACACCAAATATGTACATGGTGGTCTGCAGCTTCTGTAATCTTTTGTTGCAGTCCATTGTACTGGCCATGATAACTTGAAGCACCATCAGTGCTGTCCGATAGACAGTATTTCAAGTTAAAGCCAAGCCGCTGTAGCATCAAATTTATGAGATCGAACAAGCCTTGGCCAGTACCGTCATTGCTTGGTACAATAGAAAGCAGCCGTTCATGCACAGTAGCATTTAAAACATAGCGAACCACAATGCTGAATTTGTCAATTGCAGATATATCTTCCCAGTGGGCATTTCGACGTCGAACGAACGTCGAGCAAAGTCGGATCTCGACGTCGGATCGACGTTGGGTTTACGTTGGAAATGGAAATGTTATTTGACGTCGGATAAACTAACATCGCGCGACGTCGGCATTCCGATGTAAATCCAACGTGTTTTTTGAAAACTAAAAAACGT